GTATGCCATTTACAAGGCAACTGCTTCTTTATGTTGTTACTCTAGAGAAAACATGCAGCAAGGTAGGTATGCCATTTACAAGGCAACTGCTTCTTTATGTTGTTACTGTAGAGAAAACATGCAGCAAGGTATGTATGCCATTTACATGGCAACTGCTTCTTTATGTTGTTACTCTAGAGAAAACATGCAGCAAGGTAGGTATGCCATTTACATGGTGCTTTTACATAATCGGAAACAATATATTTAGTATCCTGAATATATACTTTGAGTGAATAGATATTGTAACTCATGAATCGCTAAATGTTAAATAAAATGTTTAGAGTGTTACCATTTTTATGACTTAAATGGTATTGACAGTGCCAAATTTAAAGGACAAAATACAGTAGGAAATATGAATGTTTATACTGAGGTGTTCAATTTTGGTGGGTTGTTTTTCCTGAAAAAAACATATGGTTGTATTTTCAGATGGGATCAAAATCCAGTGATGTTTTGGAAGTACTTTTAGAAACACTCAATGAATTGATGCAATTATGCACAAGAAGACAAGACATAGTTCCAAAAGAATGTGACGATCAGTTGAAAGGTAGTCTTGACCTTTTGCATGACCTTGGTCAGGACTCAAGGACAGAGCCTCTGTTTGAAATGCTCCAAACAGTTCTGACACATCCTGTGCTGCTGCGATGGTTCCTGTATAATCCAGCTGATAAACTAGAGGATCCTGCCTACCCTGCCAAAACAGCCAGTTGTCTGCGATATCTTGTCACATCTCACATGAGCCAGTTCTTCTTATCCATTGAGAAACAGAACCTCAGTGATTTGACACTCGTCCTTAATAGATATGTAGATAAAATCAAGGACTTTATGAACTCAATCAAGACAGGAAATGAGCCAAGTTCCACCTACCAAGAATTGGTTGGAATGATCCAGAATAATTTGGGATTATTTACCAAGTTCTTAGACAAAGAGGCCCAGTTCTCCCTCCTACATACCGTTCTTTACCTGCCAAGGACATTACTTATAAATCTGTCGTCAGAGTTATCTCCCTTGGGCAATTTTCTCATGAATCTTCTAGCGGAAATACATAGCAACCTGACTGTTCACCACAACAGCCTGGCACTTCTACACATTCAGGATTTTGAAGTGTTAGTAGATATAATGTGCAGCATAGACTCAAGTACTCTGGACATTAATTGTCAAAATCTTCTGCAATCATTTCCTCACTTTTCTGTTGCGATTACCAAGGCAAACATATGGCATCTCCTAAATAGCTCCTCTGATGTTCAACAGAAGATTGCAATGACTGTGATTGAGCATAATTCAATGGCCAGGTCACATCTGGAGGACTGGATTATGGAAACAAATCTTACAAGTGACAAGAAGTTTTGGAACCTCCCTTTACTGACCACCTACCTACAATGTGTACTGTACAGAAAAGGTAAGTATTTCTTGAGGTCATTGATTTTAATTATTCGTATTATGACAGATATTTAGAAACTGCAGAATGAAATATTTGGAATCACATCTAGTCATCATGTCTTGTACAAGAATTGGTATGTTTTTCATATTTTCATGAATAGCAATGAAATTCCAGTTTCCTATATAACCAGTTTCAATAACTTAAAGACAATGTATTACCTAATGACTTACTGTATATAAAGACTGATAAAGGCATCTTTGTTAGTGAAATAAAGTACAGGGAACATCAGGTGGCCGCCTTCTACAATTACTACCCCCCACCATTGGGTCGCAGGCCTACATGGGACAGGTGTCAGGTACTGGCCGCAACTAAATGTTTTTTCCCAGAGTACTCCGGTTTTCTATCAAAATCTGGCACGTCCTTTTCTTGAACTCTTTTCTTTGTGTATCATTGTCACTTTTTATTGTGTTTTTTTAGTTGTAAAGACAGAGGTCGTCAACAAAATCTACAGGGTGTATGAGGACTGTGTGGGAGGTTTGATGGACACGTCTGTTCAGCGTCCCCAGATTACAGGGCATTTATGTGAACTGGTTATCCTGCTGTGTAAGCTCCGTGTTATAGGTAAGTCCTCACCAAGTTAAATCATAAAAGGAGTACTTCCTCAAGTTCTCGTATTGAATTATCAAAATCATCTCGTTATCTTTTTTTTTTTTTTATTCTACCCCTCTTTAAACAAGTCACATATAGAAGAAAAGAGTTAGGAAATATAATGGTGCTCTTTGAGAAGAAATATCTTGAAACAAAACAAAAAATAATATTTTTTTAAGTTTTTAGCTTTGCACTTATGTAGTCATTCTGGTATCAGCATCACTATTGCCATTGCTAGATGAAAGTTTTGGTGCAAGTGTTAATGTTCATTAGTAAAACCTAAATTATTTTTACTAGGAAGCTGATATTTGATTTGAAGATTCCTCAGGGGTTCCACATTGATGGAGATTAGTCAACTGTTTTTAACTGCTTTTGATTTTAATCAACTGTTTAGTGATACCGACATACAAAAGGTATTTAGTGTTGGAAAATTCATATGTCTGGATAGGGTTAATAGGAAATGGCCCTTTGATGCTCAAAACCCAAGTGACTTCTGACCCTGTCAGCAGACATCAAATGTCAGTATTTCCATGTCAAAAGTTAACTTCCTGCTGCTCTGTTTTCAGATGGTGACAAACAGAAAGACATTAGTCGGAGCATAACCACGGCTATAAAGGCCAAAAAAACAATCAAGAAGGATCACATCAGAGTGCTCTGTTATCTGTCCTCTTCAACACCAGAAGGTAGCTCTGGGCCAGTCGTCACTGAGGCCCAGGTGTACTACACCTGTAGACGATGTCTGATGTACACACTTCAGAAGAAGGAGAGACTAGATGGGGACATAGACATTTACCTACTGGACCTTATGTCTAAAACCAGTCAGGTAAAACAAAAAATTCTGTCTAAAACCAGTCAGGTAAAACAAAAAATTCTGTCTTAAACTAGACAGGTAAGACAAAGCCACTTGGGTAAGACAAAGCCACTCGGGTAAGACAAAGTCACTCGGGTAAGACAAAGTCACTCGGGTAAGACAAAGCCACTTGGGTAAGACAAAGTCACTCGGGTAAGACAAAGTCACTCGGGTAAGACAAAGCCACTCGGGTAAGACAAAGTCACTCGGGTAAGACAAAGCCACTCGGGTAAGACAAAGCCACTCGGGTAAGACAAAGTCACTCGGGTAAGACAAAGCCACTCGGGTAAGACAAAGTCACTCGGGTAAGACAAAGCCACTCGGGTAAGACAAAGCCACTCGGGTAAGACAAAGCCACTCGGGTAAGACAAAGCCACTCGGGTAAGGCAAAGCCACTTGGGTAAGACAAAGCCACTCGGGTAAGACAAAGTCACTCGGGTAAGACAAATATGTTCTGTCCCCTTCAGTTAAGACAAAGATTTCTAATTTGAACTAGACAAATAGTATATAGAACCTGTTTAAGACCAGCCAGATAAGACTGATTTCTGTCTAAAACCAGTAAGGGAAGACTACATTTTGGTGTAAAACCAGTCGGGTAAAAACAAAGATATCTGTCTAAAACCAGTAAGGGAAGAAGAAATGTCTGTGTAAAACCAGTCAAATAAGACCAAGGTTATATTTCTGTCTAAAAACCTAAGTAGAATAAGGAAATTAGGATGAAGTCAATTGTGGGCACTAGAAACGAGCTGTGAGTGGTGGGAGGGGAATTTAGTGAAACATAAAAAACCTTCAATCATAGTTCTATAGCTTTACAGATTTAAAACCCATGTATCGGATACAGTATATGGTATGGGAATGTAGTTTTAAATTTGTGTATATATATTGGGATCCTGCCATCAAAGGGGACACCATTAATGGTAAACATTCTACATGAAGAGGAATGTGTGCTGTGATTTGAATATCTTCTTTTGAAGTTTTCTAATTACATTAACAGATTTAATATTGCCTGTTTAGCTCTGTGTAAGTTCTTTGTCAAAGGCCATCTTAAGATAAAAGTTAAAAAACATATACCATTAAAGATTTCCAGATATCCAGAAAAGTAATGTTAAATGGCATATGAATTGGATAAAAAAAATATTGTATGTGTTTGTTGACAGGATGTGATCCAGCAGTTGAAGCCATCTGAGCTACAGAAAGATTTCTCCTCCTTCGTAAAAGTTTGTCTTCGATCCCGGTACTCCTTTACCAATACTCATAAGATCCTCAACACACTGGTGAAAGCTGTGTACGCCAATGGGACAGAACTTGACCTGACTCCCAGCATGATCTTCAACATGGTTCTCAGCCACTCCGCATTTTTGTCCATAATTCTCCATGAGGAAAGATCTGAGGTCAAAGGTGAAGTGCATATTGTTTATATAGCTCCAATTCAGTAGTTTTTTTGGGTTTTTTTCAGTACAAATATTTTATTCCCCCAGCCATTTTTTTCATAAATATGTATATACATATACTGCTTCGAAGCAGATATACATATATAAATATTTTGATAGGGGATGCCAGGGTTGGGGAGCCCTGGAGTCAGCCCCTGAACAATATGGTGTCCTCACGCAGGAGGGTTCTCATTCAACATCGATCAGTCAAACTGTAAATAAATAAATAGGAAGGGCAATGGGAAAATAAAATATTTGCAAATAGAGTACAGGACAAGAACACAAAATATACTTCTTTCACACCCTAACAAATTCCATATACAACATAATATTACAAACAAGCATGAACATATAGCACGTATACACAAAAAACATAATACACATACAAATACACCCACATATATACTCATGCACACATACATATATACATATATAGACAGACACACACACACACACACGCACACACACACACACACAGACACACACACAGACAGTACATACATACATGTATACATTGAGACAGACTTACATACATTGAATCCACATGTGTATTATGCAAGCATAATTTCACGCAGGTGAGAAACAATAATGAATACACTGTGCAAACAGTGTCAGATGTACATATATATATATACACATGTGTATGAATATTTCTATGACACATGCTTGTGGTCATTCACATTGACATGGACATATACTGACATCAATTTTCAAATAGTATTTTAAAACCGGTTTTCATACAGGTTTTTATGTCCGCTAAAAAGATAATTATAAAACAAAACAAACAAAAAATAGCACATACATCCACTCACACCATAACATACCGGATATATGCAGTTTTATTTTTATCAGATTACAAAATCAAGATGAAATTTAAATATTCATTTCAAGAGAAAGAGTATCAATTATATAAACAAAGATACAAAGATGTATGGATTGTGTCAACTTGTTTTTTAATCTGTTAAAAAATATCTTTCCATTCAAACCATATTTGATAAAAAAAAATACGTTGCATACATTTTTTGAGGCTGATTTTTTTCGAAGTTATATCGGAATGCTAGAAACTCAATCAAACCATCTAACCTGAGTCTTTGTTTTTTTCTTGATACAGTGTATATATATAATATTTTGCATAACGGATAATAAAGTTAATTGGTAAGGCAACATTTTCTGTCTCTCCAAATAATACTGTTTCTAATCTAAAATCAATCAATTTATCTAAGTTGTGGTATACTTTGTTTTTCAAATCTTGCCAAAGTGAAAGAATGAGGACATTCCCAAAAAATATGTTCTATAGTTTCAATTTCTGTGTTACACATATTACAAAGGTTATTGTTCAAAACACCAATAGTTTTCAAGTAATTATTTAGTGGGAGAATGCGATTTTGTAACTGATACTGGAACCACTGAAGTGTTGTATCTGTTGTACTTTTATAAGGAATGCTATACAATCATTTCCAGTCTATGTTTCTAAAACTTTCTTTTAATTTCCATTTTATTTCAGCTGTATTCGCACATTTATTTTTATTATTCAGGGTAACATACATGTCTTTACAACCTTTCTTGCTTTTCATAATTACATTGATATGGTGTGGTATAAATGGTCTTTCAACAATGTTTTCAGCAGTTAAATTAAAGTTAAATTGTCTATATCTTTGCTTAATTGATTGGCATATACTTTGATAAATTAAAAAGTTTTCTGACTCGAAATTGAATTTTAGTTTAAAGTTTGCAAAGGTTAAAAAAGAATTATCTTGGTCCGGTAGGTCACACACATTTTTAACACCCTTCTCAAACCATTTTTTAATGAAAAAAGACCTGTTATCTATGCAGAAAATTGGGTTATACCATATAGGAAAAGTAAGAAACTGCTCAATATTTTTAATTTGCATTTGTGTTTCTTCTGAAATATCAACCCATGCCTGAAAAACATTTTTCCAGAAGACATTTTTGGTCTTAAAAATATGGAACGTTTCACGAATTTGCGTGTCATCCAATTCAGTATGTTGCTTCTTGCTATTATTATGACAATGTATGCATCAAACTTGATAGATACTGTGTAGCCTGGATGTTTTAACAGTGAAACAGTAACAATTCAGTAATTTGATGAACATAGCCACTGCACAATTTCTCTGTGATAAAACCTTCCTGAAGTGTTATACTCATCTGCAAGAGAAAAGTGTCTTGAAATTTAGCACAGCTGGAAAAATCTCATAAGCATTTTTGCTATGGAATTTTTGTCAACTCAAAGGACAGATCCTCCTGTTCAGGTTTTCTTATGATGAGAGCACTAGCTGTTAAGTTAAATATGACCAGTTCAAATGGAGTCATCGTTTTAACATTCATTTTATACTAATCAACCCAAAATATTGAGAGTATAAATTGATGTATTGTAGAGTGTTTGGTGGACTTGCTGATTACACTTGTTGAGCTCAGTCCCCAATGTTGTGACTCGGGACATATTGGGATTTACCTCGGGGCCTACAGGGCCACTCTGTCACAAACAGGTAAACACAGAGCACACCCTTAGTAACTGGTGTTATGATGTGTCAGGATGTTTGACATTGGGCATTTATTCTAAATTATAATCTAATTAAGTAGACATACCAGTTGATCAGTTTAACACAACAAACAGATATTCATTCACTTACTGTATGATCGTAGTAACTGTCTATGATCAAATGTATACCATTACTCTGATAAAAGATATTGTGATTCACTTTTAACCACTAATCTAGGATGGGAAACATTGAGATTCACTTTCAACCCACTAAACTAGAATTGAAGAGCTTGTGAATTTCATATTTCACCTAATAACTAAAAAAAAATCTTTCAAATGTTAGCTCATTGTTACTGATTCGCCTACTGTCAACTTTGATAAATAACCGGTGTCTCAATGCAAAAGATTCTTTTCTCTTGTGTTTTCAGACCAAAAGCTGTTGAAGCTTCTTCACCTGTATGATAAAAATGAGGTCTCCATGAAGGAGTACAAGTAAGTACTGGTAATGTATCTATTGAGGGGTATCGGTTTACATCTGACCTGGAGCTTAAGGACACATCTGGGCCCCTTTCGCATATCCAGTTCAACCATTTCAACCAGGTGAACCTGAACAGAAAACAATCCAGACATGCCGTACTAAAACTAAAATGCTGATTATTGCTAGTTTGCATTATTTCTTTATTAAACAAGATTGATTCACATCTACATTTTAGGATATGTTATATATTTAGTAGACATGTAAAAGAAGAAAATATTATTCTTTATATATTGTTATTCATCTGTCAGAAAATCTTAAAAACTGAGTTTTTTTTTTAGCTCTGTCTATAATTCAGTCCAAGTATGTCGCTTATCACAGAAAACTTTTGCACCACCTGAACTGTTTCAACCAGAATAAGCGAATGTGACTCTGTTATTGGGTTTCAGGTTGCATCTGAACCCGTGTTTCAGGATACATCTGACCTTGGGTATTAGGATACTCCATACATCTGACCTTGGGTATTAGGATACTCCATACATCTGACCTTGGGTATTAGGATACTCCATACATCTGACCTTGGGTATTAGGATACTCCATACATCTGACCTTGGGTAT